ACTTTTTAAAAAATTTCGGCCATAATTTCGGGGGGGGGTTTGAACCCCCAAAACACCCCCCCAGATACGGCCCTGCCCCGGATAGTATTTACAAGAGGAAAAACTTTTCTATTATTGACATTTTGAGAAAAATGCATTCTTCATAAACATTTTTGCTTGTTCTAAAATTGTATTTAGAAGAGGAAATATATTTTTTCTTCATAAAAAAATTACTCCTTCTAAAATGGTTAATGCCTTAAGAAATGTCACAATAATGCAAAATAATATATCAGTTTTAATAAATTTAGTTACTTAAAAAATCGTCGATAAATTCAGCAGTTTTAAGTTTTGAAAGTTGTAAATGTATTTTTACGTCACGAAAGTATTCATTTTTGCGACGTGATTTACAATATAAAAAAGTAATTATAACACCTAGGCATAAAAGTAAAGCACTTTTACGCCTAAGGACAAAATTACGAAATATATTAAAACTGACATAGTGTCAAATTCAACGAGCGTAACCATAGTTTCTCGATATACGTATAATTACTTACAAGGTTTTACTTTTAAATCTTTTTCGTCATACTATATTGTTATATTATTATAACATAAGCAAAATCAGAATGGAAAAGATGCATATAACGTCCGCCGGACGTTATCATAACGGCCGGCGGCCGTTAAGTTTCTAAGGTAATCGTAACGTCTGTCACCTGCAACAATGACTATTTATTGTCAGTTGGACTTTTCAAAAATTGGGAAAATAGACCATAGCGAGATGTCGCGAGAAATTCCGTTGGAAATACAGGAGGAAGCGGCTGCGGCTACTCAAAATTATACTTCCGACTATAACCAGAGAGAGATATCAGCAGGAATATGACAATTTTTTGAAGTGGCGGCAGGATAGAAGTATAAACAGCGTAAATGAAGCGGTATTGCTGGCTTATGCTAAAAGAATGTCTGAAATGTATTCTCCTACATCACTGTGGACAAAGATTCCATGCTGAAGCTTGCGTTGAGAGTATATGAAAACATCGACATATCAAGGTAAAAGCCATTATATTCTTCGATATTTAATCATACTCATCTAAATTATATTTGTTCATAGATTTGGTAAACTGTTCATGTTTCTGAGGCGCAAAAACGAAGGTTATTCACCAAAAAAGCCAAAGTTCTGTCGGAGAATGACATAAATAATTTTCTACTGGATGCCGATGATTACACCTGGTTACTCGAAAAAATTGTATTGGTGCTTGGTATTCTTGGAGCTTGTAGGCGCAGCGAGCTTTGGTCACTCACAGTTGATGATTTCGAAGATTCGGAGAAAAATATTCTTGTCTCATTAAGAAATACTAAAAATAAGAAAGATAGGAAATTTCTTATTCCAAAAACGGGCCTTCCGTTTGATGCCTATGGTTTATACAAAAATACATCAACCTGCGTCCTCGTAACTTTGACAATCCAAAATTTTTCATTGGTTACAAGAAAGGCAAGTGTGTTAAGCAAATCGTCGGTATACATACCATTGGGAGCGTACCGCAGAAAATTGCAAAATTTTTGAACTTGGAGAATCCAGAACGTTATACAGGGCATTCATTTCGTAGATCATCAGCAACCATGCTCGCCGAAAATGGTGGTGATTTACTATCGCTAAAGGAGCTAGGAGGATGGGAGTCTTCAACAGTGGCAGAAACTTACATAGAAAAATCAGTTTCAAAAGAATGAAAATAACAAATCAACTTTTTCATGATAGCTCCAAAAATAATGTGTCTTTAGTGGATACAAATATTTGCCATTCTTCAGTAGCATCATCTTCTTCTATAAAATCTGTAAATCCCTGGGAAGGATTACAGATTTCTAAGAACAACAAGTGCACTTTTAATTTCCATGTTCATTATCATGAAAAAATGAATTTTAGTATAAGACATTATGTATTTTTTATCCTTACTTGTGTTATTGTTCAATAAAATTTGTTATTAAATAGTAGTGTTTATTGCTCTAAAAAATCTGCAGTATGACGAAAAATCTAGAACGCAACACGGCCGATAACAAATAACGGCCTTGGCTGCTTATGATCCTCGGCTATCGCCTCGGATCACAAACTTCAGCCCGGCCGTTATTTGTTGTTTATCGGCCTTATTACGTTAATAACTATATATATTATTTGGAACTTTTGAAATTGTTTGAAAAATTATTTGGGGCGTTTGAAAAAAATAGCATGTTCTATTCGGAGTAAAAATGATTTTTTTGTGCCTCACCTGTATGTCAAACGTCCACTCCACAGCCTCGCCACAAAAAGTATCATTTTTACTCAAATTTAAAAATATACTATTTTTGCTTTTACATCGCTAAAAAGTGATCGTCGACGTCCGGATTTTGTCCGGATTTTTGGAAAGGCTTGCCTGGGGTGGAAAAGTTTTCATCTGGTAACCCTATGGTAGTATCGTAAGTTAATTTACTGGTACCTCTACCCTCCATAATTTAAACAAAACCCTCAAGGCCTCGACTGGGTAATTTATAGAAAAACCGCATGTGTGTCGCTACCTTAACGCTTATTTTTGATAAATAAATGAAATACATAAAAAATCCATTTACAATTTCTGTTTATCTATTATTTAATCAATATTCGTTCCAGAATAACAAAACCCAAACATGACAGAAATCAGTTTTTATTATAATAGGGGTTTCTCATGAAAATTCTAGCAGGATGTTTGAAACGTTCTTATTCCGTTTAATTTATCGCTGGTCGCCTGGAAAAATATCGATTTTTCTTTTCAGTAGGGAAAAATTACAGGAAAACTGGCAAACGTTATCGTATTCTTGTTTAATTTCTTTTCGTGACGATAGTGGCCTAGTAAAGTCCAATTTAACACTTTTATGGATATAAGTAAACAACATTTTTATGAAATCTTAAAAACCATTAAAGAAAATCCGCAGTGAGATTCTGTAAGCTCCGTAGCTAAATATTTCTTGCCTACCTGTGCCATGTTTATACGATTTATGAGTCACTAGAAAGAAAATACCGGGTGCGTCTCAAAAGTGGCTCACCACCACTATAACTTTTTTATTTTTTCAGATAAAAAATGAGATTTGGTATGTTAGTATATGACATAAATTAGAATTGATTAACGTATTCAACTGTCTTCAGTAAATGATTACAACTTTTCATTTTTAAATGATACTCTATCGGTATTTTTTTTTTACTTTTTCTATAAAAAATGACACTGAATAGAATGGCATACCATATGTCAACTTTTGACATTCCCGCTTTTAACAAAATCGTATTTTAAATTTCAATCTAGAGTGCCATGGCTGTGTTAAAAGCACTAATTTTTAATTAAGAAGCCTTGGAAAAATAGATTTGATCGTCTAATGTTTTTCGTGTCTTGTCCTGGCCTGTTAAAAGATGGCCAAATCGTATTTTTAATCATATCTCATTTTTTTCAAATGGAACGAGGGTGGCTCGTTAGCATATTTGGAAAAAGCATTTTTTACGAATAATTTGGTACCATACACTTGGTACTGTATGATCGAATAAAAACGGCGTCAGCGATGGCTATGAAATGAAGATCACTGTCATTTTATATGTAAATTTATATGGGAAATGTCATCGATTGTCATTTCATAGCCAACTGGACGCCATTTTTTTTCGATCATACGGTATTTCGAGTCAAATTGTCGTTATGAACCGGATGTTACAATTTCAACATATTTCAAATAAACCATATGCGAAAATGTCAAAAGTTGACATACCTATGATATGTCATTCTATTCAGACTGTCAGTTTCTATGGAATAAAGTAAAAAATACCGAGGGTGCCATTTAAAAATCAAAGTTGTAGTAATTTTCCAGTGAAACAGGATGTTACAGAAAAGAATTGAATACTACCTATACATACCAAATCTCGTTTTTTATTCTGAAAAATAAAGTTATAGGAGGGTGAGCCACTTTTGAGGCGCACCAGGTATGTACAGAAATCGCACCAATCGCACTGCAGAGCTTTTTAACACTGTTAGTGCTGGGAAATTGGTCAAAATCAAAAACGTCGATATTGAATAGGTACTGAATATCTAGATTTACATTTCTGTTTTTCGCTATGGCCTTATGTACCGTAAGATTATGGTCAAAGAGAGTTTTGTCTTTAACAGTAAAAAAATCTAATGTAATATCTCATAGAAATTTGGTAAATGTGAAATGTAAATATATGATACAGTAAAGTTTGTCCAGTGACTCCTGACAGTGACAGTTGTATATGTCATTTTAATTTACAAGCAAATTGTATTTTTTGTATTGTTAGATGTCGTCTTTCCAAATTAATTAATTAAATTCTTTTTTATTTGTTGGTGTACTTTACATAAATTTTTATAGCTCTTGAGGAGAAAGCAAAGGTTTGCGAATATGTGAATAAAATAGAAGAGATAATTTTACTGTTTTTTTTTATAAAAACTCTAATAACAAAAAATAATTTTGGCTTCCAAGGATGAAATTCCAAAATGTACCGATCGGGGATAATAGCGGATAAATAGTTCTAGTTAATATTTTTCGCTTCTTTGCACATTTTTAAAATGTGTAATTTGCGGCCATTTAGTTCATATAAGGTTCGTTCCAATCGGACCGAGAACCGATCCTGGGACGGTAATTTCTAGTCGCCCACTTATTGTTTGAACAGTTTGATCGTTTGTCAAGATTAACAAATTAATTGACTGATAGGAAATTACCGTTCTAGGACGGTTCTCTCGTCCGGTTGGAAGAAACATATAGTTTTCGTGACAATACAGGGTGAGTCTTAAATATGTGCGAATATTTTCAGGGCTGGTTGCTGGTAGATCTCGAGAAAAGAAACATATTTTCTCTTTGCCGTTTTTGAAATAAGTCCAAAATAACCGAGTTATTTTACTTTCAAAATTTCCAAAAAAATATATTTTGCTTAAATTTTGAGAACCACTCACGAACCGCTGGATCATTTCTAGGTTTTCTTTCTTGTAAATTTAATCTACTTTCGATGTTACCATATCATGAAGAAATTATGTTTTTTAACTAAATATATTTCTAAAAAATTTATCAAAAAGTTCCAAATTTTCAAAATTGAATTCTGAATCGAAAAGACGCTTCTGAATCGATAATAAAAGAAAACCGAACTAACTTATATAAAACTGTTATGTCGAACTTCCATTCCATTGTTGTTTATTTTATGAATTACACAAAGGAATTACACACAGCTAATGACGTTTCAAGTAATTATACCATTCTGCCCGTTATCGAGTAAATACTAAAAAGAAATAATATCCTCTGTAACACACAATTTATCCACTAATAAAATTGTAGTTATTTAATCATTAAAAAAAGATTCATTCGAGAGAGATGTGCCTCAAGGATTTCTGATGTGGTTGGTTCTCTTCAGTAAAATGTTTGGTCGGCTTATGTAAAATGCAATGCTTTTGTTTTTCTTACGTAAAATTTTCTTGAAAATAATATAAGTTTGACATAGCAGTTTTTTAAATAAGACATTATTTATTATAAAATTTATTTTATTATATGTCATTATTTTGTTTCATAAACTAACGACATCGTTTAGAAACAAAAAAATTGTAACATCGAATTCAGTGAATATCGAATATTTTGACGAAACATCGATATTTCTAAAATATCGATTAACACTGCCCATCACTACTTAGGGATTTAATAACCTTTGTTTTTTTTTGTTTTGTGGAATGTTTGTTATTGATAAATAATTGCATAATTGCAATATCTAATGTCTTTGTTTGAAAACAAACAATGGGCTTGTGATATGATAGTAAATTAATAAGCAATTCACAACATATAAAAATTTTTTAATTGGTACCTACTTAAAATGAAATATCAATTTAATAGAGGACAAAAAAAGGTGAGTTAAATAAAATTCGTGAATGTAAAAAAATATAAAATAATTAGATTATTATCTTTAAATCTATTATAATTTAGTACCATACATATGCTTATTTTGTTCTTAATGTGTGTTTCTGCTTACTAAGTAAAGGTGTTCATAACGTGAAATTAAATTAATATAAAAACACCATATAATTAAATTTAATGAATATATAAATCAAATTATTTTTTTTATTAATCATTGTATTACTTTGTTAGACTGTTCCAGAAACTCCAACGTTACCAAATCACCACGAAGAGAACAATTTATGGGGACAAACATATGCACTGACTGAGAGTGATAGTAGTCCAGACGAGTGAGCATTTTTAAGACACTTCACCAAAAAATATGAATATACTTTACATTCTTATTTTACAGATGGGGAGGAAAGAATAGGTGGTGTAAACCTTCCTGTATTCCAATATCAATAATATGTATTTTAATCTTCCTTGTAGTATTATTACCATTATTAGATCAAGCTGCCGAAAGAGCCTTATTTGAGTTGAATTCTTCAAGTGACGTGTGTAAGAATTGCAAGTAAGTTAAATTTATTGAATAATACCTCAATGTGCATAATTTTTTTGATGTTTATATTTTTTGTAGATTATCTTTGATAGAAAGTATACCTGATGGTCTTATTTATAATGGTTCGTCTTCAACAACATATCCTTCAACATTTGATACTTGGATGGGGCTGATTGGCTCTGCTCACAGCTCAATAGAAATAGCTTCTTTATATTGGACTTTAAGACTGTCCGAAGTTTATCCAGATCCTTCTTCCAATAAGGTAAAATCAGTTTTTACATTTATTATGACCTTTTTGGCATGCCATAAAAATAAAACTTTTTTATCTCAATTTAGGGTGAAAAAGTATTCCAGGCCCTTTTAAAAGCTGGTTTAGACCGCGGTGTTACAATAAGAATTGCACAAAATGCACCTTCACAGCAATATCCCAATGTAGATACAGAATTCCTTGTGAAACGCAAGGCCGCAGAAGTAAGAAGTCTCAATTTTGCCAAATTATTAGGCGGTGGAGTATTGCACACAAAAATGTGGATTATTGATAGGAAACATTTGTACATTGGTAGCGCAAATATGGATTGGAGATCACTCACTCAAGTAAGTGCAAACATTACAAATAGAATTTATTTCAGCTTACTATTTTTCTTAGTAAATTATACAGTATGATCGAAAAAAAACGGCGTCTAGTTGACTTGGAAATGAAGACGACACTCCCCATAAAATTTTACATAATATACAGAATCCGGCAATAGTGCATTGAGCTTCTAGAATAAAAGACTTGAGAATTTTGTTTAAGTGCAGACCTAAAGTATGTACGAGGATGTATTTCAGAAAAATATTTTAACTTCTATAGGGTGGCTCAAAAAAGAGTGAGTGGATCGGGATGGTTTTTTTAAAGGGAACACCCTGTATATTATTGCATTTTTGGCTTCCTTTCAGAACATTATGTAGTTCTAAGATATGATTTCGATAATTTCAGAGATATTAATTAATGAATAAAAAATATAATTTGTTTTCAACATTCCTTAAAAAAATTTTACAAATGCCAGAACTGTCATGAAATCAAAACTATATTAGGTATTTACTTTAGATGGTCTATACTTACTTTGCTATAAATATCTTAATCTTAAATCATACAGGGTGTTCAACATTCTACGCCAAACTTTCTAAAATATAAAATAATTTTTAACTTTCTAAAAAATAAAATAATTTTTCTTTTTTTTTCTTTTAACTGGTAACACCCCGTATTTTTTTTATTAGATGGAGAATTAAAAAATGAACATTTTTGTATTTAAAGTATATCAAAATTTTTAATGGTTTTGCAGATATACGTAGTATTACTTCATACGGCTCTTTCAATGGTAAAATATAAGAGAAAAATAATTGGGTGGTTTTCATAAAAATTTACTGTGGATGAAATACTACATAAAATACAATATAAGATACAAATACATAAAAACTGCCATATGTAATATAAAACCGCGACTATGCCTAACCGTTAAAAATTTTGAAATAACTCTAAATACAACAAAATTCCATTTTTTAATTCTCCACCTATTGAAAAAATAATATACAGGGTATTTCATTTAAAAACGCGAAGAAAAATTATTTTATATTTTAGAAAGTTTGGCGTAGAATTTTGAACATCCTGTATGATTTACGATGACCATATTTATAGCAAAGTTAAATATAGACTATCTAAAGTAAATACCTAATCTATGTACCTAATATAGTTTTGATTTCAGGACAGTTCTTGTACTTTAAATAATTTTTTTAAGAATGGCTGAAAAATATATTTTTTTATTTATTTATTAATATCTCTGAAACTATCGAAATATATTTATTTATATCTTAGGATTATATAAAGTGATTCTGAAAGGAAGCCAAAAATGCAATAATATACTGGGTTCCATTTAAAAAAAAATCATCCCGATACACTCACTTTTTTGAGCCATCTTATAGAAGTTTAAATAATTTTCTAAAATACATCCTAGTCCATACTTTAGGTTTGCACTTAAACAAAATTCCCAAGCTTTTTATTCTAGGAGCTACAGATGCCCAAAGCACTATTGCCGGGCCCTGTAAAATGACAGTGATCTTCTTTTCATAGCCATCGCTGACGTTTTTTGATCATATTGTATTTTCTATTTTAACTAAACCCTCATACAGTGCAATGTATAACTTTAAGGGACAATAAATAATATTATGGGATTTCAACAGTATATTAAATAGGTCTTTTGTTTGTTGTAGGTTAAAGAAATGGGTATAGCTGCATATAACTGTAGTTGTTTAGCTGAAGACGCTGCAAAGATATTCGAAGTAAGTTTAAAGGGATCATATTTAATTAATAATATTAAATTTTTGATTATAATTGAATTTTTAGGTTTATTGGGCATTGGGTGAAGAAAACGCCAAAATTCCGTCATATTGGCCCAGTAGCCTTTCTACAAAGATTAATATGAACACGCCTTTACATTTACTTAATAATAATGAAACATTTCAGACGTACCTTTCGGTAAGTATTTAAAATGTTATGACTCCAACTCTTTATTTAAATATTGTTATTTTTTATTGACACTTTTTACTGTACCTAATTACATAACTTTTATTAGGTAGTAATTGTTAATTTTCAATTTGACTTTATCTAACAACAGTTAAGACTAAGACTATGGAGGGTTAGGTTAGGGATATACCAAAGAGGGTATAATTACGATAACGCTACTGAAGGAAAAGTTCTACAATTGAGAGAAAGCGCCAAGAAATGTTAAAGCAGGAAATAATTAAAAAAAATATGGAATTTTTGAAGGCGCGTGATGCTACTCTCTTTTGAGTAACCTTCACTTTGGTTATAACTTGAAATTCTTAATGCTTATTAGCGTTACCCTGACCATTTTTTGAACCTCTATTGTTCCTAGGGTTTCCAGGACCGAAACTGTTTTTCGGAACAGGGAATTTCGGTACCAACTTTTTAAGGAACTTTTTTTTCCTCTGGAATAGAGGACGGTTGGTAACACTACCTTGAGGTATCATAGCATACTGGGGAATCCCCCAAATTATATTTTTAGTGACAAAAAACGGATTGTTATTTTTCCGCTGTTATCACGTTGTCGCCTTCTAGATGTCTATATTATATAATATGGGTATATTATAACAACTTTAGTATGTGGCGGATTCATCTCTCCAAAAAAATCCTTTATGGGTATTTCGCCACTGCACTGCAAGAAAAATCTACAAAATGAAATAATTATTTTTTTGTAAACACTTCTGCGTTAAATCTAAACGGACGCAGCTTGTCAGAAGTTATGTTTACAGTTATACAAATTTGCCTAACAAAGAAAAAAATGCTTAACGTTTCGGAAAGTTATCTCTTTCCGTCGTCGGAAGCAAAAAAAATACAAAGAATAAAGAAAAAAACTACTTAAAATATTTAAATTCAACTATTCGAGAACACTTTACTTTTTTAAAACAGATACGTCTACAAGAAACCGTTGACGTTCTATTAAATGACATTATATCAAGTTAAACTTCAAAATTAACAATTACTACCTGATAACAATTACTTAATAAAGTAAAACCAAAAAGCCCCAAACTTTCTGTATGATTATTTTTAAATTTTACGTATGTTATGTTTATTTATGTTATGTTCTTTAAAATCAAGAAGCGATTACCATACATTACTAACGCCAAAATTATAATGAAAGAAGCTATAGCCTCTAAAAGAAAAATAAAAGAGGCTTTTTTAATTCAATCTAATAAAAATAAATGTATTGCTCATGCATCTGTAGATGTTAGTAATGTATGGATCATCATACAGAAAGTTTGGGGCTTTTTGGTTTTACCTTATTAAGTAATTGTTATCAGGTAGTAATTGTTAATTTTGAAGTTCAACTTGATATAATGTCATTTTAACAGAACGTCAACGGTTTCTTGTAAACGTATCTTTGGACGTATCTGTTTTAAAAAAGTAGTGTTCTCGAATAGTTGAATTTAAATATTTTAAATAGTTTTTTTCTTTATTCTTTGTATTTTTTTTGTTTCCGACGACGGAAAGAGATAACTTTCCGAAACGTTAAGCATTTTTTTTTCTTTGTTAGGCAAATTTGCATAACTGTAAACATAACTTCTGACAAACAGCGTCCGTTTAGATTTAACCATGATTTAACGCAGAAGTGTTTACAAAAAAATAATTATTTTATTTTGTAGATTTTTCTTGCAGTGCAGTGGCGAAATACCCATAAAGGATTTTTTTTGGAGATATGTTTATGTAAAAAGCTTATGCGATTTACACACAAAAATATAGAATCAGTTTTTTGTCTGCAGATTCTAAATCCAGTGGCACATGAAAAAATATTTCTTTAAGATATCTGTTCCATTGGAAAAATCGTACTCTACAGCATTTGCTATTACTTATAGACATCATTTATAATAATTCTTATTTGTAATTTCTAGAGTTCACCGTTGCCTTTCAATCCATCCGGCCGAACGAACGATATCGACGCTTTAGTGAACGTTGTCCAACACGCCGAAAAGTTCATTTACATCGCCGTCATGGACTATTTTCCTTTAATGATTTACACGCCTAAAGTGGTTTTTTGGCCTGTAATCGATGACGCTTTGAAAACTGCCGCAATAGATCATAAAGTCAAAGTTAGACTACTGATAAGTCAATGGAATCATTCCAGACCTTCGGAGGATAATTTTTTAAAGAGTATCATCAGTATTGATAAGTCGTATCCGGGAGTTTCAGTGGAAGTGGTAAGTAAGCGTCAACATTAGGGTGAGCCAAAAAAACTAACCTATGGAATTTATGGGTTAAAATGAAGCTAATAACCGAAAAAAAAATATCCCCGGGAGGCAGGATTTTTAGCTCAATTTTAAAAGGTGTCGGTGAAAACAATGAAGCAAATTCCATAGCCGCTATGGAATTTATCAACAATATCACCAACAAACATCCTCAGTTTGTCAATAACAAAGAAGTCATTTTTACAGATTTAACAAATTATTGCGCCAAATCGGGTTTATGGGCTCTCGACTACGTTTGGATGTCAGTTAAAAATGTAGACTGTCTAAGTTGGTGGCAAGCAATGTGTAAAAATACTCAGTTGAAATATTTAGCTGTTGCTCTGCTGTCTTTAACAACGTCATCTGCAGCCACTGAGAGAAGTTTCAGTTCTTACAGTTTTATCCATACTAAAAAAAGGAATCGCTTAACTGCACAAAGCCAGTAAAATAATGTTCGTAGCTCATAACAATAAATTATTACTACAAAAGCAAAAAGTGGATATGAAGCATGATATTCAACATGAAAAGTTCATAGCAAAGACATTATAAAGTTATATTCTTAAAAATAATTCTTACTAAATCTATGGTTCATAGTCATAGTTCATGGTTTATGTACAAAGTACAATGTTACCAAATGATTTTTGTTATAAGTGACCTTTATGAGTTATGTATTGTTTATTAAAAATATAACAACTAATATTATGTTTATTGTTTTTTTTTTTCACTTACATGTTGGTATCAAATGTCTATCTAACTGTAAGAGAGTACGGTATATTTTTTTCTTGGTTATTAGCTTCATTTGAACCCATGAATTCCATAGGTTAGTTTTTTGGTTCACCCTAGTCAACATGTTTTTAAAAAGTGTAAATTGTCAAAAAAATAGAATTCCACACCAAAGGTTCTAATTTAATTAATTTCTATAGTAGAGGGAGATGGCCGATTCTGCATCAGGAGGATCAGAGGATCAGGCGCACTGCGCATGCGCTAGGAACATGTAAAATACGCTAATAAACAAGAATAAACAGGTTTGAACCGCTTTGAACAGCTTTTGAACAGCTTTGAACCGCTTTTTAGCTTAAAACAACAGACCTGTTCATTTTTGTTCATACCTGTTTATTTCTGTTTTAAAGCTGTTTTACATGGCATGTTTTACATTAGCGTATTTTACATGTTCCTAGCGCATGCGCAGTGCGCCTGATCCTCTGATCCTCCTGATGCAGAATCGGCCATCTCCCTCTACTTTCTATTAAACTTTTCTCATCAGTTTTGATGATTACAAAACGAGAAAATTATTGAGTATTTTACTTACTCTACTTTATATGTAATATGTTAAAAAATCTCGAACGCCAATGATCAACAAATGATACCAATAGTTGCAAGTGTGTGTTTTCATGCATCCGTCGTTGATTTTGTATAATTTTATTGGTTTATTTAAAAAATGAAGCATCATACTTCTACATGGCTACTATTGGTGTCACGGAACAACGGACGACGTATAGCAGATGCGTACAAACCTACCCTTGGCCATATCTAAACCTTTCCCTTGTCTCGCCAGGTTTGTCGATATAGGCTTCGTGCATTCTCCGCCGGTGCTGCCACCATCGGAGAATACTGTCAACAGTGGACTAAAAAAATACACGGGTATAAACAGCCGCGGATCTACAATTTTTTTGAACCGGGGCAAAAAATTGATAGTAGCGCCCCCTCTCTCCAGCGTTTGAAGTAAATTAATTTTAAAAACTATCTAGATATACAGTTCATATCAAATAAACTTTTAGTCACGTGATTAAGCTTGACCGGCACAGCGTTGTCCACTTTTATATATTTTCTTTTAATCAAAATATTTTAGGTAACAAAAATAAATTAATTATAAATATATAAACAGTTATTATTTACATCAACAGAACTCACCTTCTTAACAGCACTTAAGAAACATAAAGGTCCATTACTGCTGTTTTCCCATAATAAATTTGCGATGAGTTTGTTACATCTATTAAGCTATCTTGTACACTTCACACTAAAAGAGTTTCTAAAAAGAACAATGTTCGACTGCAAGGTCTCCTAGTAAACATTTTCGAGCTTAAAGCTGCTTAAAGTATCAAAACACTATTTATTTAAACCAAAAACTCGTAATACAAAACTAAAGTCATAGATAAAAGAAACAAGTTTAGATTGGAAAGTGCCCATAAGGACAATGTAAACACTATTTGGCGCTATTCTTGCAAAGGTCGCGACCCAAAACTTTTGAAAATTTCGGAGCGGTTCGGCTTTTTCCGGAATTATATCGCCAAATATTGTTTATTCAAATTTATTATTTTCGTTTAATTTTATAAATAAAATACAGTGTGTTGCATACAAGAAACTTTATTTTATATCAGGACGCATATATGAAATACCTATTAAACATTGGAAACCGACGTTATGCCACGATCCACGATGTTTTTTGCAGTTCACAGTTCACAGCACAGCTTTTTAAGTTTTTAATGCCACTTTTTCACAATTATCACCGGTTGGAGTAAATAAAACTTGAATTAAACTCACAAGATAGCAATAATTACTTTGAAAATGGACGCTATAAACACTTTTCGGAATTTCTTTAATGAGAGCGGTTTAGATTTTGAAAGATTATTATGATTTTTGAACATAGATAAAAGAAAATAATCTTCTATTAAGATAGATATGAAACTTAATAGTAAAATTTTGGGTCAAAGCGCCCCTCCGTGTTCTTAGTAGAGACTACGTTTAACCCAGCGCCTTCGCCTTTTCTGCTGTAAATCTTTTTTATGTTTATATTTGATTTCAAAGGATTTAGTTTTAAAGTTACACTGATATATTAGTATATCAGAGTTACTTTAATAAAACATAAGAATATATATATTTTACAGTTTATTAAATATAAATTTTGACTACAAGGTAGAAAGTAAATCACAATATTTGATAAAACTTATAAGTATACTATTTTTACAGTTAATAAATAATAAAACTATTTCTGACTATGATATTTAAAATTTAGATAGATAGAATATTAAAAAACATACCGGTATTTGCAGACGCAGGCCCAAATTCAATAAAACCAAAATTTTTCCTGCGAAAATCGGGCTTTTTTCACAGAAAAGGTATTTTTTGATTTATCAACAATCATTGTCAAGTTGACAATATACAGGGTGTTTTCTAATTAGTCTAAAAAATTGTGGTGTGATTCCTCATGTGTTCTTAAAACAATTTTTATATAACCATTAGGTCTAAAGTACTTCCTTTCTGATCTACAGTTGCCGACAAAAAATAAATATACTTTATGGGCTCTTAATGCCCGCCTTAAGCCGTTTTCTAACGATTTTTTATTTTTTAGATTAATTAGGAAACACCCTGTATATGCATATCACAGGCAACCAAATAAACTATTAACCTCTAAAAATTATTTTTCCTACCACTAATGACATACCATGTTTTTAGTGAGTACTAAATTATTTTATCAAAATTTCACCATATAAGTTTCCAGGCAATGTTTTTGAAGATTCTGACTTTGACAAGAGAAAATTATTTCTGTTTTAGTTTGCCGTTGTTCTTAGCGACCGCTATAGCAGCGCCAGATCGCGTATAACGGTCGCGACCCAAAATAATTTCGCGACCCAAAATTTTTACGGGCTTTCCAATCTAAACTTGTTGCATTTATCTATGACTAAAGTGTTAACACAAATGACAATGTCAGGAAATAAATAAATAAATGCGGCAACTTGACATTTTTTACAGCAAAGCTACCACCTGAATCCCCAGCGCGAAATTTAAATTCCAGTTAGTTAGCACGGCGTCGAATATGTCCATGGTTGGCAACAATGAATTTAAAAATCGCGCTCTCAATTACGTAACTAAAAGTTTAATTGATATGAAATATAGGTAGGCATTTTTCGTAAACGGGATAGTTTAGACTAACTGGACGTCTTAAAATTAAATGAATACTCGATAGAAGAACGTAAGGTGCATACTAGGCGCTTTGTGGTGCAATTTTTTTGATTTTCAATCATCTTATATTATGATTTTGGCGCCCCCTGACACAGGGGCCCGGGGCAGGCGCCCCGGTTTGCCCCCCCCCCCCTTAGGTCCGTGGCTGGGTATAAATAGCGAATACACGAAAAATTTGTTATATAATTATTGTAAAAGTGTTAGGAAGTATAATTTGTGAAGATTCTAAAAATATATATAAAAATAAAAAAGTAAATATTTTGATATCTCCAGGAGGTTAATTTGTATTATAATTTATTATTCAAGCTAATAAAACTTTTTAGAGGAGTTCAACTACGGTAGCGAGCATAGTTTTATGCACCGGTTTTGCTAGTGGGGACATAACTGGAGCTATTTCGCTATAACGAAATTTTTTAAAGGGATATAATTTTAATTTTAGGAGATGTCCATAAAAATTTAAACATTATTTGGCGACTTTGGGCACTTTGTTTACTCACGTGTTTCGTCGAACTACTTGAACCCATTTTTGCTTTTGATCAAATAAGTGTGAGAAGCTGTGAAGCTATAAAATGTTGTTTAGGGAGAGTTGAATATCCGGGAAAGTTGGGTTATTTAATGTTATTGCACCCAACAACCACGTAATTACGCCCTCCTTTACGTGTTAACATTTATTAACATTCGCAATTGTCAAAGCACAACGCGACCCTCAGTTTGGGTTCCTATTCACTTAATGTTTAGTACCTGAAACAGCGTTACATCACACAAACCTCGTACCAGAGTGTTTTATAGTTTCAATAACTGCACTAGTAAAAACTAAAATACTTAAATATTATGACAAGACCACGATTTTAATATTATTTCAGTGCGATCGACAAGAACGATAACAGGACTGCGTGAAATACTTTAGTAGGGCACTTCTAATTTCTGCCGTATTGAGCGCTGCAGTCGGAATTTTCAAAATCAACTGAAATGCATCAAGCCTATACTCTTTTTATTCAATGGTACTTTCTGAAGGTTTTTTTAAGCCTCATTTGTTTTATTTACAGCGACGTTTCATTGTGCCAGCCAATGAAGAGCAGCGGAAGATACCTTTCGCCCGAGTAAACCACAACAAATATATGGTTACGGACAATACAGCATACATTGGAACATCTAATTGGTCAGGTGACTACTTTACCGACACTGCCGGAGTGTCATTCGTTTTGCACGATCCGGTTTTTGACAGGAACGCAAGCCATACTACTATCAGAAGCGAGTTACAAATGGTGTTCGAAAGAGACTGGAATTCACAATACGCGCATCCTATGAAAATGTAAACAATCAATTTTTTTTAGTTTAATTCCTAGATCATATATGCCTTTGTGGATCAAATTGAAACTCTCTAAGTTTGTTGGCAACATAATAATAATAAACTTATCGTTTTTTTACGGTGTTCAGTACAAAAATAGTAATTATATTATATAAACCCAACCAATCTCATAATCGTGTTTCTGCGGTCGAAATACACTACCCCTACAATATTTGCATTTATTTAAGACTCACCCTGTATATTATAAACTTTATACCCTGCTGGTCATCCAATTTATGAGGTCTGAATTTTAATGAGTGTGACAGAGAATAATATAAATGACCGGTTGACAGACAGAGACAAAATCAAAAGCGGCATACAGTGTTGCCGGTTTTTTTACGTTTGTAGGAAAATGTGTGTAGAAAAATATAAGCTACTAGCGTGTACCAGCGACTTCGTTCGCGTCGAATTAATCATTTGTAATTGTGATGATAAAGCAAAGCAAAAATTTGGATAAAATTTTCTCACATTTATGTCAGCATGAGAAAAAACAATATGATGATATTATATAACTTGGTCATATTTGAGGGGTAGTTTCATCTCGTTGGAATTTGACTTTCGAAAAATCCGTTTGCCAAAAATAAGCTTTTTACGTCAAGCAGTTTAAGCAGAATCGTGGTTAAGGAATTACTCAACTTTTTGGAACACCCTGTATGATTTTTTAAAAAAATTCAAAATATGTAAAAAAAAACAAATAAATTATGCTTGTCAATTAACAAATATTGTAATATTTGAGGGGCGTTTTCACCCTCTTGGAATTTGAGATTCGAGAAACCTCTCCTTATCGAACCTCTACACCCCTCAGTCAATCCGTTTGCCAAAAATCAGCTTTAAACGTCAAGCAGTTTAAGCAGAATCGTGATTACTCAATGGTCATATTTTATGAAACACCCTGTATAAATTTATAAAAAATCTTAAAATATGTAAAACAACAAAATAAAATATACGTGTTTAAGAGTTTTTTCGAAAAACTCACTGGTTTTTAAATAAAAAATATTTTAATATTTGAGGGATAGTTTCACCCCCTTAGAATTCAAGTTTCGCAAAATCCCTTCTTATCGAACCTCTACACCCTAAAGTCAATCTGTTTTCCAAAAATCAGCTTTTTACGTCAAGCGCTTTAAGCAGGATAGTGATTAATCAATGACCAGATTTTTCGAAACACCCTGTATACATTTTTAAAAAATCTTAAAATATGTAAAAAGAACAAAATAAAATATACGTGTTTATGCGTTTTTTCGGAAACTTGACCGTGTTTTAAATAAAATATATTGTAATATTTGAGGGGTGGTTTCACCCTCTTGGAACTGGAATTTCGAAAAATCCCTTCTTATCGAAAATCTACACCCTACATTCAAGCTGTATGCCAAAATTAAGCTTCTTACGTTGAGTGGTTTGAGCAGGATCATGATTAATCAGTATGTCAGTCACTTAAGGATTTTATATATTAGTATAGATTTAAAAAACTTTCATGTATACTACTGAAATGATGATAATATACAGTAGGTCTGTCCGTTCTGTGGCTACGGGGTATCCGTGAGAGGGGAAACGATATTCTCTCGATGTTTTTCGTAAAAAATTAGACGACGCGTCCCATTAATAAAAATTCGACAAATTTGCAAGTAGCCAATAAAATGAGTGGGCGGAGCGATTTGCGGTGACGTACTCGTCAAGTCGACGTATAAAATATATTGCTGTTTATTTAAATGTTTTTTGTCCGCATTCCTTTCATAGACACAGATCCAACAGACGAACTGTATCTAAATGAAATATAATCTATTACAGCTGTAGTAAAATGAGTAACTAATAGTGAAAAATAAAGTTCCAACCCTAAATGCAACGTTTTTTGTAAAAGTCTACTTGTGTGGCTTGAAATTTTGATGCAAAATCCGGCAATACCGCATAGAAGAAATGTGTCGACCCATTTTTTATCTCTTTAATACATTTGATTTTCCATTAAGCTGTCTATATCACTGTCTTACACGTTAATATTTTACAATTTATATGAATTAAAATAAAAAATACATTTTAAAGCATTGAAACTATTTATTTTTGGGGTAAAGTTCCTTGTTCTTGGCAGCTTTGATAAAGCATATTGGGACATGGCAGCATTTAAAAAACTTTAGTAAGACATATTTATATTACAAATATTTTGTCGGGTAAATGGCATCCACAAAGGATATTATGGTTTAGTTTGTTCAAACCAAACATTGCCTTTTTTATTTCAGGAACTATGTAATTGTTTATATTGTTAAACTTGATAGATTTCAGTAATTTCGATTTTGCAGAAACTGTATTGTGAATAGTACCTGGGTCGATTTTTTTTAATACCTTTGAAAACGTAGACAATCAGATTGATTTGTTTGTCTAAATGAAACTTTACTATTAATTTGAATATTTTTTGTTTTTTGAATTCATCAGATAATTTTCATTTTAGTGAAGTTGATTTTGGACAAACGGTTTAGTATAATAGATTGTAACAGGGTCAAATTTTATGATTATATCGTAATAATTTTCAATTCCTTAATATTAGTTTCAATAAAATTGATTTGGGACGGAGTGTAACAAAGTATTTTTTTCTGTTTTATGACTTTCATTAATTTCTTAACATTTTTTTGCTAGTCTTTTAATTCTTAAAAATGAGGATTTTCAGTATTTTTTTAATATTCAGTACTTATATTTCTAACAACTTTGTACAACTTCTCTCTAATTTATGAAAAAAATATTGCCTGAGTTATTTTTATATGTTCATATATTTTTATTGTTTTACAAAAATTATTTTCACTATTGAGATGGTGAAAATGAGATCGGTGGAGTTTGAGATGTTATACATTATATATTTATATTAGATAAATCTTTTTACATTAGATATTTAGATGTTGTGATATTACAAATAGTAATATTTTTTACTTAACTTGGTATTTTTAATAATCAAAGCATTTTTTTGAATAAGTATTTCTGTCTATAAAAAATCATTAATTTTAACATACCTAATAAAAAATAACTATAAAAATGTTCCCTTAATTGCAATAAGATAGTTTTATTGAAAAAATAGTAAATTTTGTTAAGTATCAAATAATAATGTTGATTCATTTAATATGGTATTATAGTCTGTTCAATGAGAGGATATGGAGAGGATACCTGACAGTGACAGTTATTTTCTGTCATTTTAATTCACATGTAAATTGTAATCTTTCCTGGATTGTTGGACATATTTTCTTTTATTTTTTTGTACAGAGTGGACTAAATCTAAGAGTGCCTTTTAAATTTTTTTCGAACCACTCTGTCTTTATATACATAGTATTGCGAAACTTTTCTTTTTATGAAAAAGTGGCTTAATGAATATATAGGTAATAGCAGTGTGAAGCCTATTGTATAGTTGAAATTATGAACAATAAAAATAAGTAAGGTCATAAAACGTTGATTTTATTTTTTCCATGGTTAAAAAAACCTTTATCACATGTATTCAAGAATTTAATAAAAAAGTGACAATGTTCCATTAATGGTGGGTTCATGCTTCCGATCTTAGCCCTAACACTAACATTAGTCCTAACCCCAAGAATATGAATCAACGTTAACGAACGCTAGCGTTCATGCTCTCATTGTATCGGTCCTAACATTAGCCTTAGTCTTAACAGGTTGGGATATTTTATATTCTTAGGGCTAATGCCAATTCAAAACTGAATCGCGCATGCTCAAAGCTAGGGGTTTTAAGAATTCTCGAAATAATATCTGAAATGTTGAATTTGATGGTTTATAAATGTTAATAAATCATATATTTTTTGGTTTAGAAAGTATTAATGTAAAAATTCGTTTCTCTAGTATTAGAAATAATAAAAATAATTGTAAATTTAGGTTAGTTCAAAACATATGTTTTATATGAGAGCAAGCGCTTACGAGAATATTGATTTTTTCTTAAGACAAGTAAGAGAAGTATGAACGGCCTTTCCTTAAGTTCTCAAGGTTAATTATTTCTTATGGTTAATGTTAAGGTTAAGGTTAGGGCTAATAATCAAAGTATGAACCCACCTTAAGTGGCTAATATAATTTTTAAATTATTTATTAAAAAGAATGAAAGTTATGTTCTTCGTTTAAAGTACATCCTATTCCTTATTAAAATTATGGGATATTTGCTAAGTAGTCTTTTACATGAGATGGGTCCAACCTTTTAAAACCTGTTGAATCACATATTCCCACCTCGATATTATCAGCAGTCATTTGTCCTTCGAAGCTTTCTTTTAAAGTTAATATTGCAGTATGAACTGCATCATCTAGTTCCAAATCTTCACTGTATCTAAAATTATTAAAATAAGGTTTATATTAAATACTTTAATAAATAGTAGCAATAAATTACCTTTTTTCTAAAAATGTCTTCCCATTAATATAATTTTTACCCATAGCAGTAGCTTTCCAGGCAAAGTAAGCTCCTGAAGGATCACATTGAAACAAGTATGGCCTCTCACTATCCCAGCCGCATATCAATAATGATACACCAAACGGCCTAACACCTAGAAAGATTTCATTTGATTAGGTTTGTATGAATCTCCTACTTTATTTTCAAATATTTTATGTTATACCTCCTGACTGAGTGTATTCTTGCATGACAGCCGCAACACGTTGCACCAATTGGACTGTAGGGATAGGCTCACGATAAACCAAGAAATATTGTTGAGCCATTTTACGAGCTTGCTTAACTAGCAGTCTATAATCGGGACCCATACCGGAATATATCATTCCAATGTGATTTGTGATCATTTCTACTTTATGAACACTATGTTCATCATATAAAATTGACTTATGCTTATTTTCTGTAGCTATAACAACTCCATTAGATGCTGAAAACGTTTTCTAAATCAATTAATCACGTTTATAATGATTTGAGGAGTATGTCACCTTTAATGCCTACGGATGGGGCTCCAGCAGCAACTGCGGCTAATGCATATTCAATTTGAACAAGTTTTCCGGACGGACTATAAAAGATTATAACAAATTTATAATTTAAACAAAGCTAATAGTCAATCTTACCTAAAAGTCGTCAACGAAAAGCTATATCTTTCTGAAGCCATAACTTTCCAAGCAAAACTGGATAAATAATTTCAAAATATGCGATTCACGATGAGTTTATAAACGCTTGACAATTGACAGATAGGAGTATAGGAGGTTAACTTAACATTCCACAGATAATATCAATACTATATTCATCTTTATTATGTTTTTTGAACTATTATATATGCTTATAATTTTTATATATGAAAAATTCTTATCCGTTAGAAATGTGTTTTTTTTAAATTAAATTTAAAGGCCTAAATTGGTAGGATGGGTAGGATCAGAGGGTAGGATTAAGATCATTAGTAATGTGTTTACCAGAATACCAGCAACAATTCTTGCTTTTTTTAAATCCACAGGTTTTCACAAAAAAAATATTTTAGTAATGGCTTACCATCCGTCATTTTAGAATTTGTCATTTGAATTTTAAAATTTTAGCAGAGAGTTTTGAAACTATTCTATATCGAATTGAACCATTACAAAATAATGGTAAGTCTAATAAACACGTAATATAATCATTATTTCAGTAGAATAAATAATATTTTTTTTAGACACAGCGTTTTATGACGGGACCACAAAATTTTATACACAAAAAACAATTTTAGACACACAAAATAGATATTTTACTTTAAATCTGCTCAATCTGACAACATTGACAGTGCGACATTTTGGGTTGTTAGCAACATGTTCTTATATCAACTTACAATTTTTTTTATTTTTTGATAGAAAAAGTGAGTTTTCTGTACACTATTTGAGTGTATTCTGTTCCTTAAGGCTTGTTTGATCTCCTTAATATGTAAATACCCATTATTTTACATGTTTTTTTATCGTTTTTTTCACATTTAAGTATTTCAATTACATCATCAGTAAAAGCCAATACATTTTTGCCTTATTTTCATAATTTGCTTATTCAAAATTTTGGTGTATTGGAATATAGATACTTTTCTTGATGTCTTGTCTTGATTAAAAATATAGATACTTTTAGATAGGTGCTCCATATTTGGTGATATTCGGTATTTTTTGAATATTTTTTTTTTTTGGTAGAGTTTAATAGTATATTATTCAACGAGCATATAATGGTGGCTGTTATTCACGCGGATGAAGTTTATGGATCATAAATCATCCAAGTGAATAACAGCCATTATATGCGAGTAGAATACTTATAGGTACTTTATCCAGGACTATCAAAAAAATTTAGATAATATTATTAAGTAGGTTTTAATTTTTAATGTCAAAAAAATATTGAACGAGTATAACGAGTAAGTAACATGGAAACAAAACATTGAAATTTTCTTTAACTAGGTAGCTAACTAATTTAGCTTTAACTAATTAAAACAAAAATTATTTATTTACATTAATGGTAATGTTTAACAGCTTTCGTTTAGAGTTTGGATCGAGATATCCGTGGAAGCGGTGAATAATGAAACAATTATTCACTAGTGAATAATGAATATTATTATTATTGCATAAACTCATGTATAATAATCAAATTATAGACGACTCGTGTATAAAGGTATTTTTTATTCCTACAGGTAATTTTTTATAAAGAGTTTGATTTTTTAATTTAGTTTTTTTATTATAACTAGTTGAAGCCTGGCGCATCCGCCACGACATCAGGAAAAAAAAATACTTTTTATTTTTTTTAATCAAATGAAAAATAAAAAAATCCGGCGACGACAGTTTTTAGAAGGGCCAATTAGCTATCTTTTAGTAAAAAAAAGCAACTTTCTAGAGCAAGTCGTTACTTCAGTAGAGACGACACAGATAAACATTAGCATATTATATATGTAGATTTTAAAATTTCTCAATTACATATACAGATAATTATGAGTATTCTATATAATTACATTGATAGTTATAAGTTTAGTTTTGAAATAAAACTCTTAAATTTTTAAATACATATTTATTTCCCATCTTTTGGACCCTATACAAGTTATAGCTAAGTACAATTGTCAGGTAATACAATCTTTGTTTGGAATGCTTTTCTGTTTAATTTGAGAGGGCAAGATGGTGGGGTTGGGTATGTAATACAATTATTTTGACTAGTATCAATATCCTTGTTCTTGCACATCCTTACACAATGCAAATTTTAAATTTATTTCGCAGTAGATGCCAGAATCTTTACAGAGGTCCTTAAGAACAAACACGTCAGTACAAATTGATAGTTGTTAAAACTTTCATTGTATAAAATGGTTCAAGAATGCAGTACCCATTAGGATGTTTGTTGTACTTATAATTCTAATCCAACAAATTTATCCAACACAGTTTACAATATTTAAACTAATTACTACTATGGTTTTCAATAATACAATAAAGATATGCATTCCCTGGTCGATTAACAGGTCTACTAAGGCTAGATCAGAGGCTTATTTTAAGACAAAATTCTTGTATAGGTAACACATAAGTATATTAAATTCAATAATTGATATACCCTACAATTTATTACCTAAGACATTATACAATAAACTTATAATATCTTGTAACAAATTAACATCTTGGTTCTTAATATAGTATATATTTGAATATTTATGACGAATAACATTTTCGAAGAGATTCTTAAAATAAATGCAAGAGAAACTTTTTTGTCTTAAAAATAGCATGCTCATAAAATGCTTGGCTGGGTACAAATACATAACAGCTACGCGGCAGATGATTACACTTTAGAACTATTTCATAGTTTTATGACTTTTGTTACTACTTGTTCCCGTCATGTATCTGTAAAAGTATTCTAAAAGTTGTATATGATAGTTGATGATTACAATAGTAATACTACAATAATAAAAGGTATATATTTATTGCAATTTTATAATGTAAATTCGTTTTGAGTTATTTAACTTTTAAATATGCATTGATATAAAATATTGTGTAATCAAATAAAAAATTCATTATAGTTGGTGTAAAAATAATATTTAAGCTTTACTAAATTCTAGACATCGACAACTGATGAATTATTAACTGTATGTCATTAACATACAGGTTGTTAATTTGTTTATTACTCGCGGCAAGAGCTTTGTGGTTGAAATATGGCAACCTCGGCCCGCTCGTCGATAGACGACGCGACAGGACGAGTCGGCAGAAAACCCTATGCATGCGTTCTCAATAGGCAGTGTTGCCATTCTGTTCCCCTAGAAGTAACTGTCCAGTTAACAACCTGTATAGTTGAAGTTATGTTCCTTCTGTGACGTCGTTCTTGTTCAATTTTATGGTATGTTCTGGACTAATGGCGCTATTTCTTTATTTTCGAAGAGTCTTATTAAACACTGTTAAATAACGTGTGGAAAGAAGAATGTTATATTATTGGACCAAAACCAAATACAAGCTAACAGGGTACAAGTTGTAACATTTGTAAATATACTCAGCGTCAGCAGCAGTTTTTTTTAGAAGAATTATCATCTTGTTTATTTTTATTCACCTATCTTAAAAACCATATTTATATCTTAAATATTATCAAATCTTTCATATTACATTATTAAACACTAAAATTTAAGATGTCACTTGACAATAAGGGGCACAGATCATGATATGTTTAGAAAGTGTTGTTTATTTTTCCTCAATTTTTCTTTTCACTAAATATAATCCTATTACCTAAAGCAGAGAAGGCGATTGTGGCTAGTTTATATAACGTTGATAATTTTATCACATATTTATATCTGTCTCTGTTACTTTCAACATATTAATATTGACTTATTAATTTCTCATAATTTCTCATTTCTCTAATTTTATATAAGTTTTTTTTCACTCTTTTAAAATGAAAATATACATTTGGATGTCGATGTACATGATTTTAACGCTCGGTAAGGGTTAATTGAATTTGTGAACGATTAGGATCATTTAGTTCTCTTTGGAAGGATATCCCATATTTTAGAACTTTGCGGACGTAATGTAAAATTTATGCCCAAAGTGCGTTTAGTCCCAATACCTTAGCCTAGGTTTGTCAAAATATATTGATTTTGACATACCATTCATTGTTTTTTGTTTGACATTTGACATCTACTAGAGAATTAATGTCAGTCAGTAGTAGTTTGTGGTAGTAATTGATAGTTATTCTTCCAATCTTAAGCCTAGCACAAGTATTAAGGATAAGACTAGAACTAATATTAGAAGCATGAACTAACTATGAGTGACAGTCGGTTACATAAAATTAAGTGATAACCAAAATACTAATGAATATATCAGCTTGAGGTATCTAATTCATCCGTATTTTATTCTATTACGTTTATATTTTAATTATTTAATTTTTACATTCTCTGGAGATTTAAATAATTTCAGAACACTGCAGCCCTTTAATAGAGAACACCATTAACGGTTATGAAGGTTCGTAAATACACGAGAGTTTAGTTAATATGTTAAAAGTAACTTCACCAAATAAAATGACAGAAAATGTTCATATTTTTTCCTCAAGAATCGATAACCACACACAAATTCGAATAATATAAAACAGAGTTACGACATCGAAAGGTCGGATTGCATAATATATAACAGGTATTTATATTTATTTTTTAATAATTAGTTAAGCTGATATGTTTAATGTAGTCCCCAAAAATGCCTGGATCTCCAGCCTATCTATACTGTGACCCGCACCCACCTTACCAGGACCCGTGATGCAACTATGCTTGTGTCACGAGCCGATTTTAAGCATGCCTGCTCGCATGCTTATTGGACGGAAATACGACGCAGAACGACTACTTTTTCCTTTAATAGTTCAGATTCTTTAACTCTTTGAAATATAACCGTTGACAGAGGATTTTAATTGTTTATAAAAGAAATGCGTCTCATACATCTCTACATTATGCATGCAATACCAAATATTAAAGGTTGTCACATGCTGTTCCAGAAGCTCAGACTTATATGTGTTAACAAAAATAGATATTTCATGATATATATCGTATGTTCACAAATAATTTTATTACTTTTTTCTTTAACTAAGTGACAATTAGGATTATGTGACTTTACAAATTGATAGGGTATGATTGATTAATGTTTCATTAAATATTGTGATAAAAAATACAATTAAGCAAACTTTGGACAATGACATTGATAACACTTAAAATTAAAAAAAAATGGTTACAAACGATATCACAGCAGATAGTAGAATAATATAATATTTGAGTTCGAAATTTAGAATACAATTGTGGTTGAAAACATTAGTATTAACAGCAAAATAAAACATTAATCCACCATAACACACTTTTCTCTTAACCGAACGCACGTTTCGCTAACTATTATCAATAGAGAGTTTCAATCAAGTTCTGCTGATGATGCTAACATGGTTACCGAAGAGCACTTCCAGTGTTAAATGTAATGTGTTTAGGTGTAATATGGTGAATTAGTGATTCATTTTGTCGAAAATAAGTCTTACTTTTATCACTAATTTTCTTCTTAGTTACAGTGACAACCAATACTGATTTATTAGAAGTACAGTGGCGTCATTCTATCACACAGTAAGTGAATTATTTACTGTCAACGAGTCTTTTATTTAAAATCTTTGATAAAAATGTTAAAGAATCTGATATTAAAGAATAATGCAGGCGCTACATATCTGCATTTTGTGCCTTCCAAGGTATAAAAAAGCTCTATAGTTTTTAAACTAATTGACTTATTCATCATCCTATTACAACGCAATGGTATTTAAAGACTTCTTATCCTTGGACAGGCTTGATAAATGTACATCTAGAATGATAGTAATAGATAATATATCACATAAAAGTCACACGAAAAGCACTACGACACTATACTAAAGAGAATTTATATATCGATTTGTCAATCTCTAAATGAAACCGAAAAAAAAAATGTTTATATTCGAACTCTATTTCGGCTGATGCTTGATGTTCGTTAGTAGTTACAAAAAAAACATTACAAAATTATATAAAAATAATTGTTAAGATTAAAAATTAACATCTTTATAAAGTAATACTTATTAAATAAATATATTAATATATATTAGGTCTTTCTACCTAAATTTAAACTTTGGTTAACTAACTCATGTATCCATATTATCTCATTAAACGACATCTCATTTGATAAATGTATTTTTATATTTAATTGACAATTTCTTGAAACATTGTTGTGCTAGTATCAGTAAATCCTTTTCATTTATCATATATTTCTCTAAAAAAAACTGTAATTGTTGTGCTTTATACGGATACACGAGCTTTTATTAAGGTACAGAAAAATATTCTAACCAATGCTAAACTTAACCCTATTTACCTAGATATAATTTTTTTTCTACTTATAATTTCATGCATTTCTTTATTTGCAAGATAACAAATGCTTGGTATTTATTACTATAAGGTAATACTATTAATAATATATATTAAGCAAAAGCGCTATATCGTATTAATTTATCAAAATTAAAATCGATCTATAGTATTTAATGTATGCTTGACGATACCAGATGTTAGTAGATAATGCGGTATAGAAAAAAGCAATAGCATTTTAATTTCCTAGATAGATGTCCTGTAAGAAAGTCACTTTATACGAAAATTGATATGTTTTTTGATGGACTGTCCTCGAGTAACAAAGAGAAAGAGTAAAATTATAAGGTATTTTATTTTTTATACATATACAGAGTGATTTAATGTCAACGAAACATCTTTTACCAGATAAAAGAAATAGTTTTGATTAATTTTTGATATTATAACGTATTAAATTATAAAAACGATACGAAATTTTCACTGTTTTGATGAAATTGATATTGTTGCTAAATATAACAAGTTAAATAAAAATTGTATATCTGGAAGTTTCTATTAATATCTTCAAATAATTCAGAAGATAAATGAGATAAAAACTTATTTGGGTAAATCTGTAAATAGCAACTCAACAGAGTCAAGTCAACATAGAACCACCCTGTATTATAATGAATGTTCATATTTAAAATTATTTTAAAACTTTTTGTATATTGATATCATTTATAAAGTTGAGCCTTTTATGTCTAATAAAATATTATGTCTAAGGTTCATTGGGATAAAGATTTTATAGTGTCATCAATAATGTTCGCCATTATTATTAATGTCATCCACTAGTTTTTTTCGGATAAATGAGACCTTAAAAAAGACCCTCAATTAGAGATTAATATGTTCATTAAACATTTACCAAAAAGTTTTTAATTAGGTATATTTTGAAAATTATATTTAATAACTATTAATTTGAACGCGGGACATAGGTAATTCCATGTAAATTATGAAAAAGTCAAATATTATCTCCCTTATCTTTTATGCAAAAGTTGTATTACACTTTTTTGAAGAGGCGTTAAAGTTATACTATCGTCTAGAATTTTGTTTTATTTGGAATAGGCATCTAAAAGTTATTTGGAAAAATCTACCTTCAAATTATTAAAAATTTATAATACGGCCCAGAGAAAGCTACAATTAAAATACCAGAAAAAATATGATTTTGTCATTGTCAAATTCGATGTCACATTATTTTTGTTTACAAGAACTTATGTGGTTTGAATAGAGTGGTTAATGTTTTTCTGAATTTGAATGATCATCTACAAAAGAATTAGTTGAACGGAGAATAGTATTCGCGGTGTATGACTTCTTTGCTGTTCATTCACATATATCCACAATAATTTAACAAATAAAAGAAATATTTGTAGCGAAAGGAATTTTATTAAACTATACTAATTAATAAAATGTTTACATAATCCCATTCACAGCCAAACAATACCCCAAAGGATTGTAAAATTCACGTCTCACAATACAAAGCAGTTAAGGCGAGAATATTTAGCATTCCACAGAGATGTCGTTTTCAGTCCATATAGATTTCTGTATTTAATTTGCTAATAAAGACGGTTTTTGAGTGTGCTCCACTGGAAGAAGTCGTTCAGCGAAAGAATCTGTGGTCTTTTCCTACTGTATCCCTAATAGACAGGAGTCAATGTTTTACTTTTCTTTAGCATGAAGAATATTTAAGTAATTGTTGTTTTCGGCTTTGGTGAACTATCCTGACATACGATTTTTCTGAGAAAACGAAGTTTATGTTACCTTAAAATGAACTTCTTGAATTCTTTGACTAAAATCTGATGCGGAAAAACATGTTTCACATAAAAAATATCCTTAAAAATGTTGTTATTTGATTTTTATAGCAAATTCCAGGGCAAATTCCATAACCGATATAATGAAAGAGTCGCGGACTTGTTTATATCCGTTTCTATGTTACGCTGACAGTAGTGAAGGTCGAATTTTGACAAATATTGCGAATTGATACATGGTTGTCAGATCAGCTAGTAAATTATCCGGAAACACGCTGTAAGCGTGTTTTCATTTCCTTGGTTTGTGTTTGGCTTAGGTTGAGTTGGTTTGGTATTGATTGGTTTGATTTGGTTTTGTATTGTTTTTTTTGTATTGGTTCATTTTGTATGGGTTGGTTAGGGTTTGGTAGAGTTGGTTTGGGTTGGTTTGGCTGTTTTCTTTCTTTTTATCTGTTTGATTGATATTTTGTTTCACTCTTCTGTTGTTTTTTTAGTTTTCCCATACACACATTACCAACGCATTTTTATTATTAAAAATGGCTATTTTTTCAAAATAAAAATAAAAAACAGAAAAAGAAAATTCAGTGGAACTGGCAACATTGCTTTTCCTTTTGTCGCTGTCATGTTAAATGAAGTGTTACTTCTCCATAACGTCAAATACGTGTCATAAACTACTAAAATTAAATTAAAATATTTTAAAATTCTGTGCATAATCTCCATTTATTTTTATTTAAAGCTACTATTAAAAATGGTTACTTTTTGATAAAAAAAGAAAAATGCAAAAATCGTGTGTCAGGATAGTTCACCGGATTATTTTTGTCTTCATACTTCCAAGTGCTTAATACCTTAGTGCCTTTAGTTTCAAACCACTGATTTATTCTTTAAACTATTGAATTATTCGGTTTAGACTTTCGGTAGACTGAGCTGCGAAAATATCTAACACAGTGAGTATACCATTTCCAGCATAATGCCGTTTAACCATCGTTACTTTTTCAGAAGTTGCGAAAATGATAATTATTTTATACAAAATGACTCTATTTGGTACCTTCAAACTTTTGTAAAGAAAATGCATAGATAAATGAAACAAGTTTAGATTGGAAAGTGCCCATAAGGACAATGTAAACACTATTTGGCGCTATTCTTGCAACGGTCGCGACCCAAAACTTTTGAAAATTTCGGAGCGGTTCGGCTTTTTCCGGAATTATATCGCCAAATATTGTTTATTCAAATTTATTATTATTTTCGTTTAATTTTATAAATAAAAGACAGTGTGTTGCATACAAGAAACTTTATTTTATATAAGGACGTATGTATGAAATACCTATGAAACATTGTAAACCGATGTTATGCCACGATCCACGATGGTTTTTGCAGTTCACAGTTCACAGCACAGCTTTTTAAGTTTTTAATGCCACTTTTTCACAATTATCACCGGTTGGAGTAAATAAAACTTGAATTAAACTCACAAGATAGCAATTATTACTTTGAAAATGGACGCTATAAACACTTTTCGGAATTTCTTTAATGAGAGCGGTTTAGATTTTGAAAGATTATTATGATTTTTGAAGATTCTGACTTTGACAAGAGAAAATTATTTCTATTTTTGTTTGCCGTTCTTAGCGACCTCTATAGCAGCGCCATATCGCGTATAACGGTCGCGACCCAAAATAATTTCGCAACCTAAAATTTTTACGGGCTTTCCAATCTAAACTTGTTGCCTTTATCTATGAGAAAATGTGACATCGAATTTGACAATGACACAATCACATTTTTGCTGGTATTTTAATTGTAGCTTTCTCTGGGCCGTATTATAAATATTTTACTAATTTGAAGGCAGTTTTTTGCAAATAACTTTTAAATGACTATTCCAAATGAAAGGAAATTCTAGATAAAAGTACAACTTTAACGCCTCTTCAAAAAAGTCTCATCTGGGGAGATAATATCTGACCCTTTCAAAATTTACCACACGGTATATTATTTAATTTTAAATGTTTAAAATGAAAAATTAATACTACTCTATTGATGACAGTATATACACTACAATGTTTTTTATGCAAGGAATTTTGTACATTGAGTTTAAATACGAACATTCAAAAATCATTAAGATTATTTACTTTAAGAGGAAAAAACGATTATATATAATTATAAAGATATAATAGATTCTAGAATACTTAAAAAAAACTTTTAAAAATAGGAATAAGTAAAATTAACAATTTCAATCATTAGGACCTTCGTTTTATATAAATGAATTAGTGATATAAGGGACACTTGGGTAAATTACAAATATATAACTATTCATCTAATTTATATTTTATCGAAATTCAATAAGGCACAGGTCCGATTCCATACGGATTTTGTTTATCTTCAGATTATTTAAATTTGTCACTTTGAAGTAAATAAAAATATATTTATGTGACCGGATTTAAATATCTGAAGCGTATCAAAATACATATATGGAAATATCCTGTACATATCTAATAATAAGTTTTATAACTGATTAAAAAATCGTCAACTTTATAATAAAATTGGTTAACAATATCTAGAAGATCCTAACGCGTCAATAAAAACTAATGCCTGAAGAATGTTCTTATAGTAAGATGAAAAAAATTGATATAAAAAATGGACGTTTGTATTATTTTTTTAATAATTATATTGACAATACTGAGAGCATGTTAGTAATGACATTTACTAATTTAGCTTGCCATGCCTAGCTTCATTTTATTGCTAAAAGTTAATGAAATCAAGTTTAAGAACTTCATTTTAAGGTACTAAGTACTACGACAGTTTCAAAGAAAGCTCAGGGGAAAAACTATATTTGTTAGTAATAACGTACGACCAATATTCGCTCATGAGGAATGTCAATCGTACCCATATCATCTAATAATTTTAAACTTTAATCTAAGACTTAAATTTTAGGGCACCTTTGGTTTAGCTTATTTTTTTCTTCATTTAATGTATTTAAAGACGATAGTAGCGACGATCTCTACCAAAAACATCTTGGATAGAGTCGTCCTCATCTAAAAAGTCGAGATGTTTCTTTTTACTGTTCTGCAAAAATCTAAATAGATCAACTACAATAGATAACAGATATAGGTTAAGATTTTTGTTTAGAGTTATAAATGGTTTATAAGGTTTCCAGTCCTGTGGTCGGAACACCACTTAACAATGACCAGCCATGAGTGTCGCCTTCTGTCAAGTGCTGAGCGACATGTAAGAATTAAGATTGTCCATTTTCTTCTCCTTTTGTTCCCTGAAAATAGTACAAAAAAACAATATCAGTTGAGGATAAATATGAGAAAATAAATGCACACGGTGATTAACACTTTACGCTTTAGGTTAATACCAGGAAAATGGAAAATTGGTGGTAGTGGTTCAAAAAGAACAGGTAGGTTTAGAATTTGTAAAAATGGTAAATGTGACGCCACGAATACTGTTTATTCCATAACATTATTCTATATCATCTTTACATGTTTTCAATTACAAAGTCGAAAGTTTTAGCAAATGTTACGCTATCAAATCTATTTTTAAATGATACAATTTATTTTTTTTTAACTTTTAAACAAAATAAGTATATGCTTTTCTCACTACGACAAAAAATGACATGGTTGTGGAAAAAACAATTTCGATGACTTCGTATTCACCATTTTTAAAACTCTGGGAGGCCACTATACAGGGTGGTCCGAACTGTATTCTTTCTTCTGCAGATAAAAATAAGTAAAAAGGTTCGTATAAATGTATGTCCTAAAATGATTGGTTTCAGAGATACAGGGTGTAGAAGTTTCATTATTTTTATTTCGATGTTTTGAAAATAATTTTTGAACTATTATCAATATTTGGATGAGAATTGGTGTTGGGGTTTTTTGACATGAGCAATTTGATTTTGATGTCAATATGACTCCTACTTGTAGAGGGCACTACCTACATATTTTTTAACTGGCTTGAAGAGTAATAACTTTTCGTCCGTACCTGTATAAAACTACTGAGTAGAAAAATATAAAATTACGACGTTCTTTACGTAAAAATTTCTCTTGTTAAAAATCGCTACGAGTAATGGTTCTCGAGATATTTGGAATCGAAATTATCAATATCTGTCATCAATGACATAAATTAAACATGTTGACTAAATAGTTGAGATAGACTGAAATCATAAATTTGAAATGTGTTTGTACCAAAAGTTCAACAGGAACTGTTTTATCATCACTTTTTCGAAGAAAAATTTATGATTAATTTTAAAAAATAAAAAGTTCCCAAATTTATCATTTCAGTCAAACAACTATCTACCCAACATGTTTATTTTTTGTCAATAATGATATGTATTGAATATTTCCATTCTAAATATCTTGAGAACGATTACTCATAGCGATTTTTACCAAGAGACATTTTTTACGTAAAAAATCACGGAAATGTATATTTTTTTACTTAGTAGTTTTATACAGGTACGGACGAAAAGTTATTACTTTTCGAAACAGTTGAAACACGTGTAGTGGCGCCCCCTACAAATAGGAGTTACATTGACGTCAAAATCCAAATTTCTCATGTCAAAAAACTCCCAGACACCAATTTTCATTCAAATATTGAAGTTACTTCAGAAATTATTTGGAAGAAATCGAAATAAAAATGAAACTTCTGCACCGTGATCTATGAAATTAGGCATTTTTTGACATATATTTATACGAACTTTTTTTACCTATTTTTATCTGCAGAATATGCTGCAGAAGTTTCCGGAATACAGTTCGAACCACATTGTATACAAAAAAATTATGTCAACCAGTATCTTTAGAATTCCATCGATCAATATCGCATTTTTATTTTACATCTTCGTGGTATTAGCCAAAGACGCCATGTTTGAATTACCTTGTTCATCAATAAATAACTAGGCGTTAGTAATATGATAAAGTTTAGATTTTTTCTCATTTAGCAAGAGAAGAGTATGATTCGTAGAAACGAAAAAATGCAAATACACATACCATACTAGCAATTTCTAGAAAGCCAACACAATAACAATTTAAATAAAAGTAAATTAAATTATATAAAAATAAAAATGTAAAATAAGCTAAACGTTTAACTCATTATATTGTCGCTGGTAGATATGTTGTTATCTTATTTTTCATTTACGAAAAACATATCTTTTATCAGTTTCAGCAAAACAAAAACTCAGCAATATTAAGATTTTTGTTTGTTTATTGTTCTATGTAAGTAATTCGGTGATAAGTTATTAGATAAAATATTTGAACAAAATATTCATCATAAACCGCCATATTATGAATATTATGAATTAAATAAATAATAGTAAATACATATATTGAGAGAATTCGATTTGGAATACTCAATTAGTATACGACTAAATTTTGATTTTGTTTTGCAAATAAAGTCGTAGAAAGTTAAAACTTAGTTTTTGGTATTTCTTTTATGTTTCCACTGTGCTAACTTTAAAAGGTGACATTGAGTATCTATATTAACATAAAATCGCAATAATATAAAGCCCTTTTAAAATTAATATTACTCATTTCAGGCAATTTTTTAAAAGTAAATTTCAAATTAAGTTGAATGTTTACAAAGAAAAAATTATAGGAATGATGTAACTTCGATAAATGGGAGACTGATTAATATTTTGAGATACTTATGTCAACTTTGGTATAACTCAATATAATTTTATTTTAAAAATTAATTGATTTCATAATTTCAATTAAAAACATGACCACTAAATAAATATTTTAATATTTGACTGATGATCGGACTCCCATTCCGTTTCCTTTTTACCGTGAGAAATGGCTTCTGTTGGATAACATTTACGGAATTTTATTATTACTTAGAACGATTAAAATCGGTATATAATACCTACTTACGTAAAATTTACAAGAGAACAACTTATTACGTAATAAACTTATTTTTCGGCATTTATTTCTTTAAATGTCAAATATGACAGATACTCGAGAGCAACACATTAAATTTTATTGTAAACTCAAACTCAAAAACACCAAAGTAAAATTTCAAGTAAAGCAATAAAAAAATCATATGATGGGGACTTTATTTGTTACACTGTAATATGGTAAATATCGAAACAAATAGAATTTCGAACTTCCATTGCCTTTATTTATTTGGATTAACACAACATTTCCGTCTTTATGTCAAATCAGTTCAATCAGTTAAACTTTATGCCATCGAGCAATACCATATGCAGTGACCAAGACTAAATGTTGAATTAGATAATATTAAAACAGGTTTGCTTCAGAATGATTATTCTGAAAAATTCTTGGACAAAATTATATCAAATTATAGAACTGATTTATTGGTTCATCGACCTGAGGAGGATGCTCTGTCTCTCTCTCTCTCTCTCTCTCTCTTGACTATTCTATATGTAGAAGGAACGTCAGAAAAGATCAGGCGAATAGCCAAAAAGTACGACTTTAAAACTGTCTTCAAATCTGGATCGACTCTAAGAAGCTTTCTAACAAAAACAAGAGAAATAGTGCATCTACCTTATGAATGCGGCGAGTTGTATATTGGAGAGACTAAACTTCCTTTAAAAGTACGATTTATCGAGCACAACAAACATGTACAAAAAGGTGAAACAATGAAGTCAGGTATTGCGGACCATGTTTGGTCAAAACAGCACAATATAAAGTGGTCGGAAGCTTGGATTGTTCACAGGGAACCCCATTGAAAAAAGCGTAAATTTAAAGAAGCCGTTTTTATAGAAAACAATAATAACATCTTTAGCAATTTTAGTACGGAAATATCTATGATACGGAAACCACTGATAAAACGCACCAATGCAGGCATTCTAAGTGGACAACCTCACGGTTGACTGCACCCAAATTATTCATATATAGCTGTAGTATAAAAGCTCTCTAGTTTTAGGAATTAGATTAGTTTTACACTTGATAACGGTCAGTAATCCTTCTGACCGAAAGGTTGTGTTAATCCAAATAAATAAAGAGAAGTCCGGAATTCTTTTAAATTCAATACTGAATCATTGTCTACCATATTCAAAGAAACGCTAAATATGATGAGCATATTCGTTATTTATTTACAATTATAACTTAAATTGTAAAATATAGAGAACATACTATATTATTTTATTATAATGGTAAACACAATATAGTTATCATATACAACAAAATTATGAAAAAAAAAATTAAGTCATAATAACGACTTTATAAAGAAATTAAACTTCTTTGTAGCCTTGAGAAACTAAATATCTTACTCTGTTGGCGTTTGCTTTATAACTGAGATTTTTAATTTTGAGCTAAAATAAAGTCAAACAAAACAGATAAGCTGATAAAACTTTGCTTTTACGTCTTCACGACGAGGTCACTATTATAAATTTTATTATAACTTGTAAAATGGCGAAATACGTCACAAAGTTTCATATAGTAAGATGATAAAATTCTTTAATTATGAGTTAGGTGCCGCCATATTGTTAAACTTCTTTGTTGTTCTAAATCTCTTGCCATTTACTATTTTTAATATACTAAAAGATAGATGGAATGCCTTAAAGTAATGATTTTTTTCTCGCCTTTGTCTATATTTTTCTTAACACCCAGGGCAAGTCATGGGTGTTTCTCAAAAGTGGCTCACTCCTATAACTTTTTTATTACTTTAGATAAATCGATTGGTACGTTAGTATATGACATAAATCAAGATTGACTGACGTATTCTATTGTTTCCTGCCACTTCCTGTTTCACCGGAAATGACTACAACTTGGGATTTTTAAATGACGCCCTCGGTGCTTTTTTAATTTATTCGATAGAAAATGAGTCACACTGAATAGAATATGTCAAATTTTGACATTTTCGCATATTTGTTTATTTGGAATTATAACAGGCGGTTCATAACGACAATTTAACTCAAAATACCAAGTGTGTGGTATCAAATTATTCATAAAAAATGCTTTTTCAAAAAAAACAATCTCGTTCCTTTTGATAAAATTGAGATATGATGAAAATACAATTTGGGTATCCTTTAACCGGCCAGGATAGGACACGAAAAATATTAGACGATCATATCTCGTTTTCCAAGGATCCTTGATTAAAAATTAGTGTTTTTAACACAGCCATGGCATTGTAGATTGAAATTTAAAATGCGATTTTTTTAAGCGAAAAATCAAAAGTTGACATATGATATTATGTCATTCTATTCAGAGTGTCATTTTCTATCGAATAAGAAATACCGAGGATGCCATTTAAAAATTGTTGTAGTCATTTCCGGTGAAACAGGAAGTAACTGAAAACAATTATTGAATACGT